TAGAAATTGATGTAGAAGACGAATGTTAGGAACATTTTTAAATGTAAAATACTTATTTATCATTTGAAATCAGAAATTTTAAATGCATTATTATTTTTTACATATTAATAAGGTAATATAAGGTAATATAATATAAGGTTAAATGTTACAAAATGAAGTAAATACATTAGTTGAGTTTAATCAGAGCTACCATTAGCGTATAAATATAAATAAGAGAACATCTAAATCATATGGACGGCTAGGGAAGGCGTGATCAGATCGGTCCGAAACCAAATGTACCAAATTTAAAGAACCTAGCCTTAAAACTTTAATTTTCGTCGACAAATCAGCTCGGTGGCCCAATGTGCATTGAAAAACACAGCGATATTGGTGCTGTTTTCAATTTTCTGCCAGCCATCCGGATTGCCGTTGAATGTCGGTAAATCACGGGACAGTATTTGGCGTTGTTTTTTTGTTGTTTTTTTTTCGATGTAGTTTTGATCGGACTGTTACTTTCCCTGGAGCATTTGTATTAACATATTTTCACTGGCTTGTTCAGCATGTAAAGGTATCGGCTGTAGCTTGTCTTGTTTATTCACAACACCGGTTGAGCGTGCGGCTATGTGGGCGATGTTGGATGCGTCTTGCAAAGCGGCACCATGCGCATCTGCTCCTTGCACAGCGGAGTAGTCTGGTTTTTTCACGGCGCCGGTTGACCGTACGGCTGTCTGAGCGGTTACGACTTGCTGAGTAGTTCAACGGCAATCCACGGTTACACGGGTGTTCTCGACACGAACGCAGCCAAAATGGTACCACGTCATACAAATTTCATCCATATTAAAATATTGAGAAATATTGCTCTGCATACTATTGCTACCGGTCTCACTTTTTTCGAGCTGGAGCGGAGTCGTAGCACAAAAACGAAAACTGCTCTGCTCTGCTTCGGGTTACGAAAAGTTCAGAGCCATGATACAATTATACAAGGTAGTCCATTCGTAGAATTATAGTCTCTTATTATACCCTTGCAGAGGGTATTATAATTTTGGTCAAAAGTGAGCAACGCAGTGAAGGAGACATCTCCGACCCTATTAAGTATATATATTCTTGATCAGGATCACCTCCTGAGTTGGTATGAGCATGTCCGTCTGTCTGTCTGTCCGTCTGTCTGTTTCTACGCAAACTAGTCTTTCAGTTTTAAAGCTATCGACATGAAACTTTGCACACACCCTTCTCTCCTTTGCACGCAGTATATAAATCGGAACGGCCCGGATCGGCCGACTATATTCTATAGCTGCCATATAACTGATTGATCGGAAATGGTATAACTTCGGTGTTTTTTGAGTTAGAGAGTTCAAATTTTACATGAGAAAAATAATATGCCAAATTTCGTAAGGATCGGCCGACTATTTCCTATTCCTATTTCCTATTTCCTGCCATATAACTGAACGATCGGAAATGACCCAACTGTCGTGTTTTTGAAGATAGAAAGCTGGAACTTGGTACAGATTATATTTTTGATCAGTTTATCCGACCTACCAAATTTCATAACGATCGACCGACTATATCTTATAGCTGCCATATAACTGAACGATCGAAAATGGTTTTTGATAGAAATGGTTTGAAGATAGAAGTTTGGAACTTTTTTAGATTTTGTATTGTAATAAATTGGATTATATATTCATATTCCCATAAGGAGCGGCCAACTATATCCGATGTTTGCGATATATATCCGGTTTTAACTGCAAGGGTATACAAACTTCGGCTCCGCCCGAAGTTAGCTTTCCTTTCTTGTTTTTATTTTAACATAGTAAGCGTTGACTAGTGTGAGTGAAACGGCTATACAGTACTTCGAATAACCAGCACACGAGACATGGGGTTAAAAGTTTTTCTTAGTTATGAAGAGACTTGTAGTGCTTATAATTTTATTTTAATTAGTTTTGAATTTGACATAATTCTTTGTTTTTGTTTTTGGACACCCATTATCTTGTTTAAGTTCTTAATTCTAAAGCATATACGTATTTTAAAATAAATTTTTTTTTATATTTACACCAATATCGACCTGCTCAGCTGCGTTTCACAATTTCTGTTTCAAATTTTTAGTTAAAAAAAACCAAACAAAAAAAAACAAACTTTACCTAGCACTTGCTTGCGACAAGAACTGCAAAAAGTCATTTTTTTGCTTGGCCACTTAAAGGTTAAAGTTAAACAAAAAAAAAACCTTTCAGTTTGACAGTTTGAAATTAATGGACCAAAACCCGAACGATTTGTCAGCCCAATGGATTACCTTGTATAATTGTATCATGTTCAGAGCTATATGTATCGCAATAGCAGAAAAAAAAGTTTTTTTATGCTACATCTCTCGCGTATTTTTGTTTTGGCTGATCTGCTTTTAATGCACAGTTACCATGTTCTTTACCCTTTTAATGTGTTTACAAATGTAAATGTTTTAAAATTTAGATTTTTTTACAAATTTACAACGAGAGCTACGACTCTCGTGCATTTTTTTTTTTGGCTGATCTGCATTTAATGCACCGTTACTTTGTTCTGTACCCTTCTAATAATGCCTTTAAAAATTTACATTGTACAACTTCAAATTAAATCATTTTCGCCATTAAAACTGGTGTTGACGGAAAACAGAAATCGTATAAGCCACGACACATTATAAAATATACTCCTATACTTCGCCTAAACTCAACACGCTTAGTTTATTTGAAAACGACGTTTAATTATTTAATAATTATTTACTCAATACACTTTTCACATTCCTAGCATAATTTTTTGATTTTGATTTCTTGTTGGCTTCTACTGAGACTATAACGATTAGAGATGATATTTTGGTTCGATATCTGTTCAATAAAATATCGGTATTCCTGAGTACTGCTACCATCCGTCGTCTCGTTATGGTGTCAATATCGTTTGGTATTTTCGTTTTAGTGTAAATTTTTATTACTAGAGCGCCTTTGTCTGCATGTATGTTGTGTGGCATTTCGTCCCACTTCCTACCCTAGCTTCATTAGTTTGACTCCTACGGATCGCCTATTTTTTGGATCCGCTATCAGTCACATTCCCTCCAGCAGTTTTGCATGTACGAACTCTGCGGCTCCTACCGTAAAATCCCTGGTGGCAACGGATCGTGGTTGCGACGGTTTTCCTCTTCTAGCCACAGTCAATATGCTGGTGATGAACTGCTATGGGAAGTTTGTGCCTTTTCGAGCGCTTCTTGATTTCGGCTTTCAGGTCAAGATCATCTTTTCGCGATTATCTCAGCTGCAGCTTCCCGATTCTAAATTGCTGGTGGTCGTATTTGGAATAGGGGACTTAAAACAAGTGACCCCTCGGTAGGACTTTGTCTGCAGTCTCACTACCTGAAGTCACCTGTGCTTACAGATCTACAATCCAGCGTTAGCTTAGACTTCGGCAATTGGCAAGACCCAAAGAACTTGCGCATTCTGGGTTTCACCTGCCTCATTTTATGAACTGTTATGCGACGGAGGAGACCAATTGGACACTAGTTGGCAGGTGCTTCAGAATACTCGGTTTTGTTGGGTTGTTTGTAGCGGTGGAGAGCAAGCCCGTATAAAGCCCTGAAAGCCCGTATAATGAAGTGCGCCGGAATCCCTTTTAAAAAGATGTTGAAAATTCGGGGACATCCATCGGAGGGAGCATACAAGCTTTCTGTATTTAAGGGCAGCATCGTCTTATGACAACACAATGCACTTTCAACCCGCGCTATTACTTCCTCCCTCGCCTTCAGCCTTGCCCACCCTCGATCGGCCCCTGCATCTTTCTTTTGTACAATTTTGTCTCCGTCGCTCAGCTATAAATGTAAAGCGGTCAGCCGTGCTCGGTTATTGTTATTCTCTCGCCGCCGATCCATATGCAATCGTTCGCGATAATTAATTTTCAATTATTAAAATAGTAACAGAAAACAAGAAAGGAAAGCTAACTTCGGGCGGAGCCGAAGTGTATATACCCTTGCAGTTAAAACCGGATATATATCGCAAACATCGGATATAGTTGGCCGCTCCTTATGGGAATATGAATATATAATCCAATTTATTACAATACAAAATCTAAAAAAAGTCCCAAACTTCTATCTTCAAACATACCAAAGTTGGTATTTCTACCAAAAACCATTTCCGATCGTTCAGTTATATGACAGCTATAAGATATAGTCGGCCGATCGTTATGAAATTCAGTGGGTCGGATAAACTGACCAAAAATATAATCTGTACCAAGTTCCAGCTTTCTTTCTTCAAAAACACGAAAGTTGGGTCATTTCCGATCGTTCAGTTATATGGCAGCTATAGGATATAGTCGGCCGATCCTTACGAAATTTGGCATGTCGTATTATATTGCCAAAAATAGCTCATGTAAAATTTGAACTCTCTAACTCTAAAAACACCGAAGTTATACCATTTCCGATCAATCAGTTATATGGCAGCTATAGAATATAGTCGGCCGATTCGGGCCGTTCCGACTTTTATACTGCGTGCAAAGGAAAGAAGGGTGTGTGCAAAGTTTCAAGTCGATAGCTTTAAAACTGAGAGACTAGTTTGCGTAGAAACAGACAGACGGACAGACAGACAGACGGACAGACGGACATGCTCATATCAACTCAGGAGGTGATCCTGATCAAGAATATATATACTTTATAGGGTCGGAGATGTCTCCTTCACTGCGTTGCACACTTTTGGACAAAATTATAATACCCTCTGCAAGGGTATAAATATATAAAGCGACAGACTAATTATTGGAAAAAAATTAAAAATATATTTTTCAGTTACAGAAAACGCTCGGTAACAATATTAATACAAACTAAATTTTCTCACAACAAGGACAGAATTAATACAAAATATACAAACACACCTTATTGCTTAATAAGTTTAATCCTAATAACGGACCCGATTCTGATTTTAAAATATATTTTTAGAAATTTTTTTTGGCCTATATCAATTATTTGGATGTTAGTCTAATCTAGTGAGTACTTATTCAATAGATCAGTTTAGTTTAATTCTTACCATTCAGACGCCAGCTTCGCAAAACTGTGGTGTCAACATCCTCTTGTGGTATAGAATATGGACGTCCTAGGTCGCCCATTTCTTTAAGAATCAAAAAATATCAAATTAAATTTAAATTTAAAAAAATATATACATAACAGAAAACTTACTGGAATGTCATATGTTATTTTCAATAACTCAGGTACAACGTCTAGAAGCTTAAAATAAGTTTATATTAATATAAAAACAAGAAAGACAAGAAAGGAAAGCTAACTTCGGGCGGAGCCGAAGTTTATATACCCTTGCAGTTAAAACCGGATATATATCGCAAAAATCGGATATAGTTGGCCGATCCTTATCTGAATAGGAATATATAATCCAATTTATTACAATACAAAATCTAAAAAAAGTCCCAAACTTCTATCTTCGAAAATACGAAAGTTGATATTTCTACCAAATACCATTTCCGATCGTTCAGTTATATGGCAGCTATGAGATATAGTCGGCCGATCCTAATGAAATTTTGGTAGGTTGGATTAACTGACCCAAAATAGAATCTGTATTAAATTCCAGCTTTCTATCTTCAAAAACACGAAAGTTGGGTCATTTCCGATCGTTCAGTTATATGGCAGCTATAGAATATAGTCGGCCGATCCATATGAAATTTGGCATGACGTAATGTTTTGCCAAAAATAGCTCTCATGTCAAATTTGAACTCTCTAACTCTAAAAACACAAAAGTTATACTATTTCCGATCAATCAGTTATATGGCAGCTATAGGATATAGTCGGCCGATCCGGGCCGTTCCGACTTATATACTGCGTGCAAAGGAAAGAAGGGTGTGTGCAAAGTTTCAAGACGATAGCTTTAAAACTGAGAGACTAGTTCGCGTAGAAACAGACAGACGGACAGACAGACGGACAGACAGACGGACAGACGGACATGCTCATATCAACTCAGGAGGTGATCCTGATCAAGAATATATATACTTTATAGGGATCGGAGATGTCTCCTTCACTGCGTTGCACACTTTTGGACAAAATTATAATACCCTCTGCAAGGGTATAAAAAGCTAACTTCGGGCGGAGCCGAAGTTGATATACCCTTGCAGTTAAAAACGAATATATGGAATATCGCAAAAATCGGATAAAGTTGGCCAATCCTTATGAGAATATCACAATAAAACCAATTCATTATAAAAAAATATCTATCTATAAAGTCCCAAGCTTCTATCTTCTAACATACCAAAGTTGGTAAAAGATATGGCAGCTAAAAGATATAGTATAGGCCGATCGTTATGAAATTTGGTAGGTTGGATTAACTGACCAAAAATTAGAATCTGTACTAAGTTTCAACATTCAACATTTCCGGTGGTTCATTATATGGCAGCTAAAGGATATAATCGGACGATCCTTATGAAATTTGGCATGTCGTATTATTTTGCCAAAAATAGCTCTCAAAATAGTAAAATTTGAACTCTCTAACTCAAAAAACAACAAAGTTACAGCATTTTCGATCAATCAGTTATAAAGTGTACGAAATAAGTAAGTAGGACACTTATGTTGATAACTGTTTCGGACACAAAATCCCACTACTCGAATTTTTTTTTTCTACGAATTGTTGATTGAAAGATTTGTGAGAGATAAGCAGAGAGAATTTTAAAAAGTACCGTACGATTTTCCTGTTAGGTCTATATTGACTAGGCGAGCTTTAATTTTGCGAACGAAATAGGTAAGTGGGACAGATCAGTTTATGTTCGGATGTATTCTATGCAATAAGAAGCAATAAGGCAAATAAGCAATAATAAGAAGCCGAGGCAATAAGAATGTATTCCTGCAGATCTTTAATGTCAATACGCTAAATTGCTGCAGAATGTGGGAGGAGTAAGCGGACGGTGAAAAAAGACCCCGAAAACCATGGAAAAAAACCCCGTTCTGGGCGCCCACCTCTTGTTGACGAGCGGGACAAACGACGTATTAAATTTCTAGCAGTCAATAAAACTTCAGTGCCTCCCAAATACGATCTTATTTGTCACTGCCAATAAAATGTAATATTTAGCGATGGGTAGAAGTTTAATTTAGATGGCCCTGATGGCTACCCCTATTATTATCGCAACATCAGAAGTCCTAAAAAAGTCCACGTCTCCAGGAACTTTCACGCCGGAACTATTTCGGTGAAGAATGGACTTTTCAACAGGATAATGCACCTATCCACTGTGCAAAGCTTACAAAGAGCTTCCTTTCGTCATCGCAAATCCCAATTTTGGAATGGCCAGCTCGCAGCCCAGATTTATATCCAATTAAAAATCTTTGGGGCATATTATTTCAAAGGGTTTATCCTAATGGAAAACAATTTACTAGTCTCAAAGAATTAAAAGAAGCAATTAAACGAGAATGGGAGAAAACTGACATTGAAATCCTGTAAAAATAAATTAATTCAATGCCAGGACGAGTTCTTAAAGTATTGGACAATAAAAGATGGACTATTTAAAATAATTATATAATTTTTCATACTAATTTTTTTTTTAAATTACCGTTAAGCTTCATTTATTGAATTTGTCCTACTTAATTATTTCGTTTGAAAGTTTTTGGAACGAAGTTTCTTATGGCGCGGTATGAGTTTGGCGGAGGAGGGCTAGCCGAGAAAAACCGTAACGTAACGTTAAACGGCTATCTGTCTGATTCTTCTTCGTAGATTGAGAGAAAATAACCATTTTTCACTCTCTCGCTCTCCACAGTCGAGCGTTTCTCCTTTACACAATTTCTCCTTGAAGAATTTTCTTTAAAAATTAATAACGACCCAACAATGTCTACAACAAGATTCAATACGACTATTGATGCAGTTTTTTCGAGATACTTGGACAAAGTTGAATCTCAAATGTTTGTATCTTACTTTAGTTATCATAAGCCAATTATCACTATATTTGAATGAACTAATTAGATTTATATACCTAGAATAAATAAGTAATAAATAAAAATCATTTTTGTATAAAGTTGTAAATTGTTGTAAATCATTTTTCGCCTTTATTCACTCGTCTCTCCTTCATTGCCAAACATGCCAAAGGAACTTCGTTCCTCACGCGTGTTCCTAGACACACACTGATTTTTTTGTTGTTTTATTTTCTATAATGTGTTGTGAAGTTTAATTTTATTTCTATAATTTGACAAGTGTTACAAATTTGGTTTTTTTTGTAATAGTAGCATAAGTCGCAATATTCTTGCTTTTTGCTGCTTCGACTGCTGGCGACTTCTTGAAATGCGCAATTGCTTTTGCTTCTGAAAAATGCAGAAGTGGTAGTCAAAGGAAATGTAAAATTCAAAAAGCGACCAAAATCAAAAATCGCAGCTTTGCCGCTTTTCGTTTTCTTGCTTTCTTGTTTTTCTGATGCTCTCGGTCATGAGCATAAGTGGAAGCTGCCACTTTTGTCGAATTCCAAGTATTTTCGGAAGTCTTAGTCGCATAAGTCGAGGCATTCGACTTTTTGCTATTTTTGATTTTGGTCGCTGTTACATTCGATCAGCAACGTAAGTGGAAATTAGCAATATACATATCGAGGAAGTTACCCGCCGCTGCCGTTGTTTTTGATCTGCGACAAATTCATTCAGTAGCGTACCCGTCGCGACTTTTCATTTATTACCTATGACTTTGAAGAATTATTTGGCAATAAGTTACTTCGTAATTTTTGAACTTTTTTATTCGTTTTTTTTTTTATCTTACTTATTTTACTTAAGAATAACTTATCACGTGCAAGTCCTGATCGGTATGGTGTTTACCTTCCCAATATGATAACACGTCTATATCAATCCTTTCATTCAAAAGTTTAGAGTTTAACATTTTTTATATACGTCCAATAAACTGTTCGCTTTTAACATCTTCCTCATCAAAAAATGAATTGTTAAAACTGGAATTCGGAGTTGAGCATATATGTATGGCCAAAAGGGTTCAGACTATCTGTCCCAAATAGATTTCAAATGAATTATAGCGTAAGTTTTATGTTGAAATCAAGAAACTATGAATTTGTTATTTAACAATGTTTTTGATCGTATTTCTATAAAATTAAAACTTTTATTTTCCATACTTTTTGTTAAATCCTGTCGTGAATCATTTACCGTTTTTTCTGGGTATATTTTAAGCTTCAAGGTTTGAGCATTGAAGTAGTACATTCAAACATTGTACTACTCAATATTTCATTAAGTTAAGGTCCCATTATAAAATTTAATTATTGTCCATAACTCCGGACAGATTTTAAATATAACTATTGATTGATTGATAATAAAAAAAAAAAAAAAAAAAAAAAGTTTGAGCATAAAAATTACTTTTCTTGAATTTGTTTTTTTGTTTTTTAATTTTTCCAAGGGACTAAAAACATTGCAATATGTCTCGATAAAATCTTAAAACGAGGAATCCACTTTCAAATTTTTGAGCTCAGTGATACATTTGACATCCATTGAATGTCTTCCTTATGTATTTTGTCAAATTTTGACAATTGAGTAAGAAATTGAACATTTTCGATGTTTTTTTCACATCAAGCGCAACCAGCTGTTTTGTATGTGCAGGACAACGTCAAACTTGAATATTACCTATCATTACATAGGGCACTTTTTCTATGATTTCAAGTTTTTTTAAATACTCGTCGTTGGTGCACTCTTTGTCATCCTCTTCATTGTTTTGATTTAATTTTTTAATATATCTGGTGAAGAGTTTGATCACACAGCATGATTTTATGATCCAGTTGATCCTGCACCTCTAAGTTCAATTATTCTAAAAATAATTTATTGATTGTAATTGATTTTATTTGAGAAGTTTTAGTGTATTTCTGCCGTTTAATGCATTATTTTGCCGACAGCAGTCTTAAAGGCTTCGGATATTGGATCGAAAATATTTCTCATATTTGGCGAATTTGAGACCAGTCTTACCAGACCTATATACGACCTTATTAGTTTTTTTTTATTTACTCCAATTTTATTCTGATTGTTTTAGTTGAGGAACATGTTAATGACGTCTGAATAATTTTAAGATTTTGCACGTTTAAATTAGTTTTTAGTTGTTTTATTATGAATTTTTTTTTAATTCAAAGCTCTATTGTTTTTAAAAGAGTTTTTGCATATATTGCATATTGCAAAACCCTCATCTGACTTGGTTTCCAAATACATCCACTCTTCACTTGGAGCCATGGCTGAATACGTGTAATTCCAGCACCAAACTAACTTCAAGTAAA